CGCATGGCTTAGTCTGTAATTACATCAGCCGTTTCATCGCACATAACACGAGCGATGTCGGGTTCGAGAGCTCGAACAGAAAACCGTGTTCCACTTTTGAAGTTCAGCGTCACGCCATTTCCTGTCCTCCTGTCCATTTAACCAATGCTCATAGTTCTGCGATGCAAAGCACTTGCATCGATTAATTAAACCGATCACAACCTACCGTGTTGCGTTGCTACCAGTCAAAGAACATGGAACAGACGTTCAACGGCACGTCGAGCAGAAACTTTGAAGCTAATGAGTTAGTTGAGTTGTTTTTACTCTGGTCTACCCCCTGGACAGGTTGCCAAAAGCGAAACTAAGATGAAAAGCTTGAGCTTGGGAAAACCCTTATCTTAATATGACAGATGGAATTTTTTGGCTGGCTTTAATTTTATTCTTCAATCTTAAAATGACCAGGTATTTGTGCGATAATTAAAAGCTCGGAACTACAACGGATATCAAGGAGGTTTGTTAGTGCTTTTCAATTTTAATTTGAATGAAAGCTTTAAAACGTGTTATTTGTGCAGATGAACCGTGCTGATGAGTAATTAAATGCATCAATATTTCAGATTATAGTAGATTAGAAAAAATTGATAAGTGTATATATAAATATATACAAAGAGACCCAAAACTGACTCCGCGCAAACCCAGATTTTAATAACTCCAAAGTTACGTAAGATGAAGCAGTTAGATGCTACATACACAGGACAAGATGGCGTGGTACCGTGAGAAGTTCGCTTCACACCTTCCAGCTGACGCCCGAATCCCATGTCAATGTTTATTTTTCTATTAAATGATAATTCCGTTGAGTACGGAACTCACACTTTACCGTCATTCGGCGTATCCGGCCGAAAAATGATTTATAGGACGATGACCTGAGAACAATACCGACTGTATCGTTTTTGGTGCAGTGATGTCAAAACTTAAATTCCTTATGACTGCGTTAACTGATGCATACATTCTACGATTGCAACTCGCCATGATCCACCTGCTACTGACAACAGTGAATATTTATGAAATGAAGATGAAGAAATAAAGAATATCTATAATGTACTCATGTGCAGCGGGTTCTTATAAAAGTCAAGTTAAGTGTTAGTGAGGAACGCAATCAATATGGAGAAAGATATGTGCATCCTACAGTCCTCGTTTGTCTGAAACGATAAGAAACATCTGAAATTGAGCCAACGTCTGAGCAACGTTTAAATCAAAGGTCCTTTATAACGAACATGAAAGATAAGATCTCTTGCAGCTAAAGAGGCTAGTTCACAATGCCAAGATATCAGCTTCAAATTGCGGAGGCGTGAGGTTAGAACCTCGAAAATAAAGGGATTTTTCTTAAGCACTAATAGCCTTGAGCAAGAAATTCACCCCCAAGGTTGCTTCAGTGCAGCCAGCTGAGAAGGACAGCAAGTCATTTACGTATGAACAACGGTACCGCATATGGTTTTGGTGTGGTTATGGTAGAATGACGAGAGGTACCATTGGAACCATCATGCATAATTCTGAGCTGATCTAGCCGTCTAAATCGTCTGCTGCATTAGCTGTAGCGAAAATGACATGTTCCAAGAGTAATTTATTGGAGAAGATGGAGAGAATCTTAACTATATGAATTGAAGGACATAATCAGTGTCATTTACCTCACAGCCGGTCATAGAAAATCATCCTGGAAAAGACAGAAAGCCTATTTACCTCTCTTCAAGAACATGGAGAGAGGTCAGAAACGGAAACCTTCAGAACCAGGGTGGGTGTTCTGATAGATTCAGTTTAATAGAAGTAGAAGAAGCATGCGGTACGTTGCCCTGAACGAATGGAACCTGAACGAACTGAACGACTTGCAGCCGTTACTTTTATTACCCACAGTTCGGAATGTATGTTGAGTAAAATTTTAGCGCATAACGCAGTGCGTCAAGCGACAGAAAATGATGCTGATCGTTATTAACGACGCTTCAGAGACTGCACACAGCAGTTAGACAAGTTTTCGATTATTCTTTCCAGTGCTCGTCAGTCGTAAAGTATGACTCATCAGAACTCGTCATTTAATTAACTTAAGCCTTTCACCTCTATTGTAAATCTCGTAGCATTTTCGCAAGAACCAGCAATGCATAGGCTAATCACTTATTTAACAAATTGACGATTTAAACTCGAAACGATTAAGTAAACACCAACGCCTCGTAATTTACTGAAACATGAGACCAACTCAAAGAACGCGCTTCGGTTCAATTAAACCATAAGTTTGGAGGTCTATGACTTGCGAAAAGTCGGAATGATGCGGAATCTCATTCCAACTGCTCTGCAATTTATATACCTATTATCATGCTTCCCGCGTATGCGTCTGAAATTGGCCCGCGGCGCACTCGATCGCTAGAGCATGAGATAAAATGGCATCGATAGAATTCAGTAAGAATTTCCTTCGTTTACTAAGCTCAGGGTTTGAGAGATTATTAATGGAACAAAAATAAAATTTAGACGTTCCATGCACGCGGTGAATTGCCCATAGGGGATACAGTTAACCTATAATTATCCGTGATGAATTCAATTTTATAATTGGTCAAAATGAATTTAATCTTCAGGTAATAACTATCACAAAACTGTTGTTCGACCTAACATGGTGATGCGATTTTGCACCCTCCATATGCAATCATACAATGAAGCCGCGGCTTGAATTGCCATTTAAACCGCTGTAAATGATTGTCAGAATAAAGTGCTCCTAGACTTCTTTTGGAAAAGAGAGGGAGGTGCGATTATGCCGTACAAACCAAAGCAAGTATTAGAAACTACTTAAAACTACTCATGTTTGTTTCCTTTTAAGCATAGCAAATTCCTGTATCGTACGTATGTATGCTAAAGAATGAATTAGAGGCAAAACTGAATTCCAAACTGACATATAAATGGTATCTAATATCGTTTTGTTTACTCTGATTCTGTTATCGTTATTGAAGGCTACGAGAATCTGAATGACAGAAGTGCACAGATTAATGAAGCAGTGTAAACGTGCCTGGGAAGTACGGTAAGTGTCTTGACCGTTTCTGCTCCAGACTCGGGTTATCTTCTGCCGAAATTCAAACGCTCGCAAAGGCACTGTCTGAAGCGTCTGTCTCCGCGACCAAAGGACAAACGGCCATCGAAACTGACCGAGAGACAGACCAATGACTCACTGACTGTCAGTGTACCTAATGGTCGAGGGTTGCCCTGATTCCATTTAAGATAAATCATTAAATTTCTGCCTATTTCACAAAGTCACGCTTCAATTGAAGCACCACTAAGTTAAACCTTCGTTTAGACACATTCGTTTGATAACACGTATAAACAATTTAGCTTAGAAACGAATGACTCATTAAAGACTAGATTTCATGGCGCATATCTAGTTTTGGAGGAGGAGTTATTCGTTATTGGAGGAGGAGTTATTCGTTATTCCTACTCGGGAGTAGGAACACTCTATGATGCTTTGGCAGTAACGATATGGCTTGTAAGAATACAGATTACGAACTTACCGTGATTTTACAAAAAAAGTCAAAATTTCAGAATGACTGGATCAGTAAGAATGATTTAGCACACTGCAATTTACCGGATTACGAAATTTCCTAGCTAGCCTGTGCGTATTTCAATCAACGGCAGATGGCTCACTCAACTTCGATTGGCTGACGACATCGTTCTGTTGGGAACGAAGATAAAAGAAGTCGACGTCATGCCATGCTAGCTGAAGATAATGATCAAGCAAGTTTGCTTCAGATAAACAGAAAACGAGGAAGATGAGAAACGAATTCGCACAAACAGCTACGGTAACCCTACCTGATTTTCAGATTCAAGTTGAAGAAGTCACCAAGTATGTTAACTTGAGATAACTAATCGTCTCAGACCACTTCTTTAGTCCAGAACTCTCTAGAAGGCGTCGTACGGTGAGAAGTGCGTACAGAAGAAACGCTGATATTATTGAAAATAGACAACTATAAATTCCGGTTGGAACTACATTGTATGACAGCACAGTATTTCCAGAAGCTTTATGCGGTTGCGAAATCTTATTATTACCAAAGAAGAATGAAAAACTGCTAAGAGTGCAGTGACAGAATATGGAAAGAAGGATGCTAAAAATTTCACCGGGGACAAGCTGGATGAAATTCCATGAGGAAATTAGAAGTCTTTCGTTGTATCAATTTCAAACAAAGGAAACAACAATGTGCGGGTCACAACGCACGGTTGACGGATGACCGGTCAACTTCAGCAGTCACGACTTCGTACTCAATTGACTGCATGCGCTCAATTGGAAGGCCTCAGTTCAGATGCGATAATGAGCTAATAGAGTCAAGAGGAAATTCGTGCCGATAAATTGCACCAGCCAGACGAGCATCAGCATGGAGAAGAGGTAGTAGTGATCCCCGCTAATTGCAGAGAGAATCACTCAAAAAATTTCAAGCGGCGATTTGCCTGCTACAGGATCTACGACAGATACTCGCCCTAAACCAACGAAAAATGCGTCAGTCAGGTTTTAAGCTTGAGACTATAGCGCTGAAAGATTCGATGCATTTTTCTATTCTATTTTCTATTGACGCTTCGTATTGCGTATTAATGCACTGTATCGTTCCAAGGACATGTTCAGTCATTTCTTTGCCTCAGGCATTGAACTCCGCTGGAGGCTCAGCTTGCGGACGTCGCGTTACTGTATAACAAGCAAGATGCTTTTGCTCGCGTAAGAAGAGGGGGGTACACGAGGCATGACTATAACGAGGCAACGTACCGTTCTGGCGCGGATCATGTTACACATTCCGAAGCCGAAAGCGATCGATGGCGTAGTCGTTGGTGTCATAGTCCTGAAGTAGCTCTGAGTACAGTCCGGCTTATCGGCCATACCCTTGACGAAAATCCGTCCTTGAAACGGATTTTTGGTCACAAAATTAACAACTATCGTATTTTCTGTGCACTGTACAGCGCTGGCTAAAAGACAGCGTTTGAAAGTCAGCGCGAAAACAAGACAATGCGACATCTACTTAGCACAGCGTTGTCTATCTCCACCGCGTTGCAGCAATGGAACTAAAAGCGGACTGATGATGCAATCGTCGATGTTTAACCGATGTTTAGAAAGGCCATACCAAGAAACATATGAGAGCTTGAAACAATTCCAGCTTCCACAGCCGGAAAACCACTAAGTAAGGTCTGCCCACCATCTGCACGCCGCCGCTATAAGATACAGCTACTGCGTGATCGAGGTTCATTACTCGTTTAGCAAACTACCGAATTTCAGTCAGGCAAACATAAACAGTTCGCATCAAAGCGAATTCAGTAATTGTCGCTTGCGGCGCTGCCTGTCTTCCGGAAACGACGACGAAGAGGACAACGAGACAAAGACGAGGACAAGGACGAGAACGATAGTATTCAAGTTCGCGACGAATGAGGACGGAAGGTTACGAATGCGGATAACTGGGTTGGATTGATTTTGACTTCAAGTTCATGAATTACTGAAGTTGGTAATGTCTGTGACCTAATGGGCGCAATTAGAGGCCTGTGGCTACAGGTCAAATATTTCTGACTTTTGCCTTACTTTTGTAATCGTATGCGCTGGACGATCGATGTCAGTCGTCACTGTCTGATAAACGCGATGTAGCCATGTATCGAACATGAATTATAGCCCCCTAAGATGCATTTAAGTACTGAAAAGAGTACCTAATTTCAACTGTTGTCGGTTTGTTTCTTAATCCTAAATTGGTGTTCAACAACTATTTAACAGTCGCGATCCCCTTTTATAAGCCATGTTATCTGCAACCCCCGGCCACATTTGCACAAGAAGATATTTTTAAAGGTAAGGAAAACACGTTAAAAATAGATTTTTCAGAATATAATTCGAATCTACTATGTAATGCGATGGCTGTACCTGTATCTGAGCAGCCAGCTTCAAAATTCGCAGCTGAATGTCTGCCAAGCCAATCTCATATCATCCTCAATATTCGGTCTGTTCCTTGCCTTCGCTTTGATACGAAGAAGCGCTGAAAATCCACTGTCGTGGAGACATGTAGAAGCAAATGGAAATAAATCTCGAAATGCAAGCATGATGACATTTGGATATAACTAATACGTAGTACGATAAAACGGAGTTTGCGATCTTTCATACGACGTATTACCTGTTGAGGAACAGTTCCGTACATTCAGAAGTTCATCCTGTACTTCATTGAGAGTGCACGCAGGGAAGCAGAGAATGGTTTTGGTACCAGTTTACTTATCTGCTGCAAGCGCAGAGAACTATGGCTGAAATTTCTTTTCAAGAGATTCAAAGTGTTCAATAATCTTTTTTCTCAGATTCTGATCCAGTTCATCTTCAGATTCATCTACCACACTGCATCTTAATCATCGGCTTCCATCGCCGCTTCTTCTTTCGCGTGGCGGAGGCAAACGCGTCAGGCAATGCTTGCAACGTTCCCGATCCTGTGCCAGAGTCTGACCTTCGGCAAAAGACAAATGGATTCTGGAACAGACTCCTTCCATATATTTGCACTAGGTTAATCATAGCCGTCCCCTGGGCCTTCTGCCGGTCGGAATTTCAAGGAACCCTTGCTTAGCCTTCCTTTCTGGAGGCATTCGCAACACATGCCCAAATCATCGCAGCTGTGACTTCTCAATCTGGAGAAGCAAAGGCTGTATACG